GGGTGGATGGCCCTAGCCTGTCCCCTTGTTCCCACAGAGCCGACAGCCCTGGTGCGTATTTCGCTGCTTTTGTGTACCAGGCTGACTCCGGAGAGGTCCTTTTATGTTTTAGTTGGTAAATTCATTATCAGACAATTGTTGGAGAGATACAGGCCAGTGGTTTTCTGCAATGTGCATCGCCACACTTTCGCTGGGGCTGGAAGCCCAGGCTTTCGGTCCTCCTATTAGAAGTGTTAATGTTTCTGTGACCTTTCTAGATGGTGGTGAGACGTATTCTTCTAAACAGAAAAACCAAGAGATCTGATCACCTCAAATGCGTATGACCGACCCCAGTTTGCTGAGAAAAATCAGGAGAGGTAAATCTTTCCCCAGAGGAAAGAGAAAGTCAAGGGGATTTGGGAAGTTTGAGTAAAATGAATGAAGACAGGTAAATTCCAGTATTTCGCAGACGTGGATCCATCTTCTGATTCGCCGCAGCATTTTATGCCCCTCGAAGCTCCATATTATCGCTTAGGTGATTCACTGAGGTTTTAAAGGTGAACACATTTAGGCAGTATCTGGATGACAGAACAGGCGAGGGCAGAGAGCCGTCTGTCAGCGTGCACGGCGGCTGTGCTGTCACGAGCAGCCCCCGCGGCCCAGCCCGCCCTCAAGACCCGGATGTATTTTGCAGCCATGACCCTTCGCCCCCCACCCCCCGGGGGTCCACGTGGTCCAGTCACAGCGCTTTCTCCTGTCACGTCCACACTGTGAGTGGAGCTTAGTGTCAGGTGGACACGAAGCCCTGAAGGCTCAGCCCGAGTGGAGGCCACATCGGCCAGAGTCACAGTGAGCAGAGGGGACCAGAGGGCCACAGCTCCTTAGACACCGGCGGTGTCCTCCCCGCCAGCGCTGGAAACGGCTGTGAACTTGTGGCTCGGTCCAGCTTTACCGTTTGAGCCAGGCCCCTGCATTCCTCACGGTGCCGTCAGGTAGCTGAGTGACGGCCCACAGGACGCCTAGCCCCAGACACTGTGACTTTTAGTGACTCTGTCAGGGAGGACTTGTGGCACTGTCCTCTTAGGAAACCCATTGAGTACAGAGAGAGTGGCCGTAAACTATTAAATGCTGGGGGATATTTACCCAGCATGCTGACTTGGGTTTGTAGAACTTAGACCACGTGCTCAGTGATCTGGTTATAACCCCTCGCCAGCCTCTCTGATCGGTGGTATCTCTTTGACTGTCCTTGGCCAGTGCATGTCCTGCCCAGGCCACCCGGAGACCTGCCTTGAAGCTCTCAACCCTGCCTGGGGCTCAGCCCCGGGGGACTCCACCCACCTCCATCCTCCACGCAGCTTCTCCTGGACCCCTCCCCCAGCTCCTTGTGCAGGGAGTGTCCTCTAGCTCGTGTCCTGTGGCTGTGCCCACAGAAGACACATGGACACGGTCCGCCAGCATGGCAAGAATAGGTTTATCCGGACACGTTAGGCTTTCTGCCCAAGGCGCGAATGCGAGGAAGTGAAGCTGTTTCATTCACAGCTGACAAGGTGCCACCAGTGGGGTCCGCCCTGGAAAACCACACTGGGTGGCGGCCATGTGGGGTGGGTGGCACACAGGAAGTCGGCCTCTTCCTGTGCACCTGGAGCCAGCAGGTATGACCAACGGGGGGAGCGACTCTCCGTGTCCATCCTCACAGCGCGAGGGGCCAGTCTGGAGGGCGAGATGGGGACCGCTTCGCTGGCAGCAATTGCGAGTGTGCTCGAGACCAACCAGGGTCAAAAGCCAGGCCAGGGCATCGAATCAAACCAGGGCGCGGTGTCCCATCAGCGTTTGGGTGGGACGCGTAGGGACCATCGTGATACGAAGCTGGAGGACGGCAGTGACAGCCACGGCTCCCGGATCGGAACACCGGCCTTTCCAAGTTCACCAAAAACTCGGCGCGCGCCTACTAGGTACCCGGTGCCCCCCGGGTTGGCAGTTTGCTCCCCCAAACCCCATTTCATTGAAGCATTCCCATTGTCAGGGGAGCGTTAATTTGGGTAATCCAGGGTCTTTTATGGTAAATATATATCATTAGTCGCATTAAATCATCCCTTAAGTATATTTGTGTTCATGTGCATAGAAGTACACCCATCTTATGCCAGGAATGCAATAGTTTTAAACGCAATAGTTTTTGAAGAAAAACGGCTCCATTTCCTTCACTCAGGGCTTAATCTGTGTATTTGTCTGAGCTCAGAGGTTTTGCATCACTGTTCTCTGCAGCCTCCTTAGCACGATCAGCCTGGAACGACCTGTGTGCTCGCCCACATGACACTCGAGGGCCGGAGGGTCCGAGCCCCAGACCCCCCGCAGGCGGCAGCGTCTCAGGGGCTGCGCCTGACAGCCGCAGATCGCCCTCACGTGAGAGCACAGGCGGCGAGGTTCTCCGCGTATTAGGGTGACCACTACGCCCATGTCGACCATTATAATCATGGCACTATTTCCATACGTCTACTCGGTGGCTTGAGGCGGGACAGTGTGGGTCCTGGGACCTGGGCCCCTGCGGGCTGATGCTGGGACCCCGCTGGCAGCCGGAAAGCCTCCCCGCCTCCCCGGCTGGTATGACAGTCATGATGGGAAATCGCTGCCTCTGAAGCAGATTTGACAATTCAGTCCTGAAAATACTTTTTCAGAGAAACACACCTGTCCCTTAGTTAATTGTAGCTATTTTGCAATTTCCTTCCTTACCTGTTAGTTTCTACGTTTTCTCTTCTGTTCTATCGTATCATATTGTCACGTTACTGTACTCAAGTCATATTTTTAGGATATTACATTGGAATATTCCTGTTTGCTAGAATAAGCTTCTTAGCATGCACTTTCTCTTCCAGGTGCTCTCTAATAATTTAGAACGCTACCTTCCACGTAAGTTTTATAAGAACTGGAGCAGCTCTCTGGGCATCATCCCTAGCGATATATAAAGGCTGAGGGAGCAGGGCTGCGGGGAGACTGCTCGGGGGAGCGGATGGAAGCGGGGCGGGGGCCCCCCGAGCAATGGGGTAATCCAGGACCAGCATTCGGAACTTGGAGAGCAGACGCACATCCGTCAGACGACCTCCCTGGAGTTTGACCATGTTCAGTCGAACCGCTGACTCTGAAAACCCAAATGATTCAGCTTACACTCGTAGGTAAGGACCAAGGACATGGGTGTCCCTGCACTGGCCTTGGATTCTAGATCTGTGGTGGGCAGGAGTTGAGTCTAATTTCACAGGGGAGAAGCCTAAACTAGCTACGGCATGAATGGAAAGCCGCCATCTCCCCAGAAGTGGCCCAGGAATGCTGGACGCAAAGCCGGCAGGCACCCTCTAGCAGCAGCTTCGGAGCTCCGTGCTGACAGGTGTCCAGTTACCTGCACTGTGTGTGGAGTTCCCTCTCCGGCAAAGTGCGAAGATTGGGTGCCGCTGGTGCCCTGCCATGGAAAGGCCCAGAACTTATCGATAAAGTGGTCTTTCAGGCTTCGAGCGCCAGCATCCCTGACAATGTGGCCTGCCGGCCATGTTCGCCACAAGTGTCATCGCAGGCACCTTCATTTCTCCCAGAAATAAAGATCTTCCTTCCTCTCTCCCTCCCTCCCTCTCTCTCTCTCTCTTTCTTTCTTTCTTTTTCTATTTGTCTTCCCCCACAGAACTGCTCTTTCTGAAAATCATCAGACCAGGCTCAGGCAAAGTTGTTCCCGCCCTGCGCAGGCGAGCGGGCTCTGCCGGATGGATGAATGCATGCCTTCCCGTTTGTCCTGGCAGAAAGCCGGCGCCCAGGGAGGGTCTGACGACCAGCATCCCAGTCTCCAGAACAGAAGCAGCCGATCGTGCCCTTTCCATGGGATGAGCAGGGCCGAGCGACCCCTAAGGACTCACACACGGGTTCGGAGTTCCGTGGGGTCACTGCCTCATCACGCATCTCTCGGGAGAAGAAGAAAGCCTGAGAAACACTTCTGAGCAGTGCAGAAACACAGGTTTTTTTCCTTTCCATTTTCGCTGGTTTCGTTTTTGAATAACTCAGTGGAGGTTACCCGGCTGCGAAGGAATGCAGGCGGACAGGCACAGGAGCTACGTTCAGAGAGCCTGGCTCCTGTTCTAACCCTGCTGGTCACTGCTCGAGCGACCTTAGGTAAGTACTTCATTTCTCCCAGCATCGGTCGCCCATCCGGAGAACAGCAGGGGGTTTGCCAAACGCGGGCTGTGGGGTTGCGGGACCGAAAGAGCCACAGCCTGTGAAGGCACTTTGCAAACTCTAACGGGGTCTGCGGAGGTGCGCGCGCCCACACCTGCCCTCGGAGGGGTCTGCGGAGGTACCCGTGCGCACACCTGCACTTGGAGGCTGGCGGGTCCCACGCAGCCCGCGCGCACACGTGCGTGATCCTGGAGCCGGGGCTCCATTTGATCAAGGTGGGCCAGGCCGCAAGCTGACCCTGAAGCGAACGTGCGTGGTCATTCCTGCCTCGTGACTGTCACGGGACCCGTGGACGCTTCTCTCTCTGAAAGAGAAGTCCCGGAGCCAGGCAGAGGAGGTTTTCACCCTCTTCACTACAGACGCTGTTCCTCACGTGACACTGTGCCCTAGGTGAGAGAGTGCGCCTTTCTCTCTGTCATTGGCGGCACGTGGGCTTTTGCCTGGGCGACCTGTGACACTCTACAGTTCTGATACCCGCATTAACTGGGTCAAGACATGGCGTTGCTAGGTAGCCCTGGCTTTCGACTCTAAAAGAACCTTCTCAAATAAAACCCTTGCTGCCGGTGCTGCCATCATGGATTGGTGGCATTGCAGGGCCGGGGCCAGTATGGATTGGTGGCATTCCAGGGCTGGGGCCAGCATGGGACCGAAGCTGGGGCCCAAGAGGCTCTGCCTGGATCGGAGAAGAGCATCAGCCCTCAGGCGACTTCTGTGGGGACTCGGGCCGCACCCCAGCCTTTATTTCCCCACCGCGCCCTGCACAGCGCCTCCCCGAGGCTGAGCTTCGGAAGCCTCGCTCCAATCCGGGGCACTCTTCAGTAGCCTACTGTTTCCTTTTCCTTCTTATTGAAGGGGTTGTAGGGTTTTACGGTTGTGACCATGTGGGACAGCGGCGCCTGGTGACGGAAGACGTCAACTGCCATTTCTTCCCGTAAGACACTAAAATACAAAGAAGGGAAAAAAAAGAAAATGACACATAAAATAAACAGAAAAACACGTGACCTCATCTATTCTGCAACTGATAACACGTGAGTACCAGAGAGAATCTAAAAGAAAGATGGTGAATGATTAATCATTGTGTGGACTGTTTCATTTATTTCGTTTATTCGAATCCAGTTTCATTGATCACATTATATGCATCACATTGCAATCGGTTTCATTGACTAAGATCTACTCTGTGCCTAAAATTACAGCAGGTGCTAAGAATCCAGAAAATGCAGCCGAAAGGAGATGAGGCTGCAGAGAGGCAGCTGAAGCACCCAAGGGAACCATACGAAATCTCTGTGACTGGGCCCAGGGCGTGAGGGGCACCGAGGGAGAGTCACCTCTCTGGGCTGGGGAAGGACATCTGCCTGGAGGCTACTCTGTCTCCGCGTGGACATCCAGCTTGTAGCAATTTTGTGGTGAATTTACTGCTATTTGAATCACATACACGATGTGGTGCCCATATGTGGCAGAAGTCACAGTGCACGCAGCACCTGAATCTAAAGTGGTTTTGTTTTTATGCTATGATTATCGTGAAGCAATGTGTGGACGATGGCCGTTGACGCAGGAACTCAAGCCTGCGTGAAGGCTGCATTCTCATGTGGGGGGGCAGTGCTCAAGAAGCCATGGGGTGCGATAGGAGCCGGGTGGGGAGAAGCACTGTGCGTGCACCCCCTTCCTCTTGAGGCTGGACACTCACAATATCGCTTCGGATCCACCGCCTGCGCCGCCGCCTCCTCCATCCAAATCTCTTCCAATAGTGTCTTCCCTTGTTCTTCCGCCTCTCAGCGCCAAGGCTCGGGCACGGCCCACGCCCTGAGCACCTCACTCAATGTGTGGTATGGGGACCCCATGGCCCTTAACCCCTGACATTGACATTCGAGGACGCGGCAACTTAGCCCGAGCCACCACTGCAGCCAATCGGCCACAGAGATCCACGGCAAATGCACGCGGCCTGCCCTCCACATGAGGGGGTCCAGCGGTCCCTTCTCTCCTGTCTGTCCGCCTCCCGCGAGCAGGAGCATGTCGTTTGGTGGCGTTAGCACGCAGACTCGAGAGACTGAGGAGCGGGCGGGCGGGGAGGACATGAAGGCAGCGAGGGACGGGAGAGCGGTTGTTTGCTTTTTAAAGAAAGACGGCAGCTCTGACGGAGCGCATGCGACTTCTGCGCATGTGGCTTCTGCGCATGTGACTTCTGCGCATGCGACTTCTGCGCATGCGACTTCTGCAGCGGGGAGGCCCGCTGGGTGTCTTCATAAGCAAGTGGGAGGGAGCAGGGTTGAAGAGGAAGGGGGCTCGGCAGGAAAGATGAGCCTTTTAGGAAAGCCAGAGCTTGTCCTTCTGGGGGAGAGGAAATGGAAGTCTGCTGGGCGCAGAGGTTCTCGTGTCGGGGAGCGTCAGCTTGGCCCCGGTGACAGACGGGGAGCCCTCTGCTGAGGTGGGCCTCAGGCACAGAGAGGTGAGTGTGGCCCCGGAAGGAGTGGGGGGCCCGGGGCACGCCCCACACAGATGGCTTCTTAGAAACAGCAGGAAAGAACGTGTCAGATCAGGCAGACACCAGCCGGAGGAAGTCAGCTCACTGAGTGCTCGGGATACTCGTCAGAGAGACCGAGACACCCGCTTTACCGGAAATTTTTAGCAGAAAAACATTAAACAGTAAGACAAAGAACCAGAGGCCATGCTTCACTGTGGAAGGGCCCAAAGGCGGGTCCTCTGAGGACAGGGCCCCGGGGGACTCGGACCACACCCTCCCTGCTGCGGGGCGCTCCCGGGGGTCCCTAGCAGAGCCCGGTGAGATCTGCAGGCCCCGTGTGCTTCCTCACACACAGGCCCAGGGCACGCAGGAGCCACAGCTGGGACCTCCCGGGCGGGATCTGGGCACCTGGCCCCGCGGGACTCTGTCGCCTAGCCGTAGGGGGCATTCGGGGTGCTGCTGCTCTGTCTTTTCGGAGCCTGTGTGCATCCCAAGAATAAGAACCCCGGAATAGGTCCTCCTCGTGAGGTAAAATACAGTAATCGTCTAAATCCCTACCAGTCCTGCCTTGGGAAATAGATTTGTGACGTTTGAAAACGTGTTTTGAGAGAGAACTGATCAAACGCAAAATATTAGCCTAGAAAGCCAATGACCTGCTTTGAAATGTTTCTCATCAGATGGTCCAGAGAGTCCAGATGATTGTCAAACCCCAGTGCAGGCCAGTCGACAAAGGCCTCCGTCAGGAGGCGCCTTCCCTGTCCCTGGGTCACCGTCCTTAGATACAGGTCACATGCACAGGACCGCTGGAGTGACGTGGGTCCACCCAGGGTGCTGCCAGAGGCTGGCATGTCCGGGCACCCTCCACAGAGCCCATGGCCATGCTGAGCAGCCTCTGGGGGCTCCCTCGCCCCGCCCCGCGCAGCCCACCCTCAACCACCTGTGAGACCACGGCCCATTGCCCCAGGGTCCTGCGTGAACCACTTCCCCTGCAAAGCCTTTTTCGTGCCCCCCAAAGGCCCACCGGCATCTCGTGCACAGCTCGGAGTCCCTATCTGTGAAATGGGAAAGCGAGGGGCCCCCTCACGGCTTGGCTGAGGTGGGAAATCGAGTTCGCACATGCAAGCTCTTGGCGGGCCTGGCGCCTAGCAAGCCCTCGGCCAGGGTAAGTGACAATTACTCCGGTGACACCAGTCACCTTCTACTGAAGTCACTTACTTCTTGCTCATTCTCAGACTGTGGGCTCCTCGCAAACAGGGTCTGATTCCTGTGGATTCCTGGAGCACAGAAAACACGTGCTGAGCCCATGCAAGATCAGACGAGTCAACCAGCAAACGCACGAGGGGCCGAGGGAAGGGGCAGGTGCGGAGACTGCCAGCCGTGACCAAGCGTCCCTTCAGCGTCTCTGCCTTTTGAAATGTCCCAGAAGCCCACTGGAGCAGGAGCTCCGACTCCACCCGAAGGTCACCTCCTCAGAAAGCCCTCCTGGACTAACCCTGCCCCTGCTCCTGCCCAGGCACCTGTGCCGCGCGCGCCCGTGTTTCCTTCCCCACGGCGCACCTTGGTCTCCAAAGTCAGTTTATTTCTTCAGTCCCCACGTGCTGTGAACCCAGGGCCCATGCTCAGTGCGCGTTTGGTGAAAGTACAGATTCCCCACCGAAAGGAGAAAAGCCACCTCGCAGACAAGCGCGACCTGCCGGGACAGTGTCCCCGCTTGCACAGGGCTGGGCCCTGGACTTGGTCGCGACTGCGTCTGCATTTCCAGAGCCGCGTCATCTTGTTTGCGGGGCCATGCTTTCAGCGCGGGGTTACAACGACCCATCGCGGGCTTCCTCTCACTAGGGGCTTCGGTGACCGAGCCTGCCATAACCTTCCGCCTAACGTCTCCTGTGCTCATTTGCAAAATGGTGTGGAAACACACATGGGACTTTCAACGGAATGTTGTGTTTTTTGTGAAAAACCAGGAGGTTATTCACAAGAAGCAAATGCGTTGCCCGCCCCGTGCGCGCAGTGAGGATCACGCAGAAGGATGGTGCGTGTGCGAGGCTGCGGGTCCGGGAGGCGAAGGAGCTATTCACCTGCCGTAAACGCCTCCGTGTGCTCCTCTTAGCGACAACGGAGGGAAACGAACTCGTCCATCTTTTCGGACTTGACACCCCATTTTTCAAACGATGTAAATTGACTGTTAGTATTTAATTGTCCTTTAATGGACCGACCGTAATTAGAGGCCCCCCCCCTCCCCCCGCTCGCGTAGCTGAGCACACTGAGTAATAGGACTGGTACCTACCGGTGCACCGCGGAGTCTGGCGCAGGGGTCGTCGCTGGAATATCAGAATTTGCTGGGTGGGTGGCTGTGAAATGAACCTTAGCAGCGTATCCTGGAATATTTGCCGAGCTAAAGAGTTAAAAGAGGGAGAGACAGAAAATGAAAATAACGATCTGGGAAATAGTCGTGGTCGCCGGCGCCCACATATGAAAATGAAAAGGGGGACGCAGCGGCTCCTCCGGGCCCGGACACCGAGCTGGAGGCCTCGCTTTCTCACCGTGTGATCCGCACGTATGTCTCGCGCGGGACTCACTGCGGAGCTCCGGCTCCTGGGCGCGCAGCCCCGCGCCCCGCGCCCCGCGCACAGCCCAACCCTGACCCCCACGCCGTGTCCGCGCGCACACAGCTGCGTTCTTAACAGCACCGCTTTTTCCTCGCCGTTCATCTACTGCATTACTGATTTCACGTAATTTCCTGAATTTGCGCAAATATAAACAAGTTCCATTCCACCTGCTCCTCTGCCTCCCTGTCCTTGTCCCACCGGCCAGCGAGAGCAGAGAGGAGAAAAGCACGCGGAGCGCACGGGAGGGTTCGGTGTGCAGACTTCTCCCCACGAAGGCGGACGGACCTTCGGGGGACAGTTCAGTAGGTGGTTCGAGTGTCTGCCACACGTGCAGCCCGCGACACGCTTTCCATGCAGTCTTTCCGTGGAGCGGACATCTGGCGTGGCTCCTTGTCCTACTGACGCAGGGACAAAAGGCAACGAGGCCGCCGGCAAAGGCTGGGGATGGCTCTGCTGCGGGCCTCCTGGCTGCGTCCGCGGCCCCCCTCCCGCACGCCCAGTCCACGTAGAGACCCCCCAGGAACCGCTGCCCCGAGGACTGATGCTTGCAGTAAGCAGCTTCAGGGAGGTCGCTCCTTCGCGTCGGTGACAGGCGGGCAGAGGAGAGTGGACGGCGAGGGGTGCGCTCAGGCCGAGGGCTCAGCTCATACCTCGCCACCGGGTCATAATGCCTCCGCGACAAGAGGGGGTGAGGATACGCACCCCAGGCACGGGGACTGGAGTGAAGCGTCGGGCGGGAACGGCCGCGGCCCGCGTGGCCCGCCTGGCGCCCTTTGTGCGGGGACCGTGCGCTGCCACCGGCGTTAGAGGCAGACTCGGGCGCCGGCGGGACGGGCACCAGTGAACCTCGCGCGTCTCTTGCCGGTGGCCCGTTCTCGGACCCTGCAGGTGGCTTCCAAACTTCGCTGCACGCTGACAACTCGCGGAGGGTTGTCCAGGCCCCTAGGACCCCGCGGGGCTAACACGCCTCTGACGCCGCCGCCTCCCACGAGCTCCGATGCCAAGTCAGAGGGACTCGGGCGCCGGCGGGACGGGCACCAGTGACCCTCACGTGTCTCTTGCCGGTGGCCCGTTCTCGGACCCTGCAGGTGGCTTCCAAACTTCGCTGCACGCTGACAACTCGCGGAGGGTTGTCCAGGCCCCTAGGACCCCGCGGGGCTAACACGCCTCTGACGCCGCCGCCTCCCACGAGCTCCGATGCCAAGTCAGAGGTGGCGGAAAGCCACCTGTCAATCACGGGAGGGCCCACTGCGAAACGCCCTGTGCGCAGAGGTGTAGATGCCAGGTGCTGTCATGTGCCACGTTGTGGCGACGGCGACGGTGTTGTAGGATGTTTCGTCCCGGCCCGTGGTGACAAACCGCCAACTGGGAGACTGAACTGAAGATAAGCTGCGTCGGCTCGAGAAATGAATTTGGTCGCACGATAAACTGCCACATATTTGAAAATGAAAGTCGTCGCCTGCACTCTTCTCAATCTAAGCAGTTAACGCATCTGCAGGACATCACACGGGGACCTTCCTTCTGTCTTGACAGCAACATGCTGACCTTATAGCGACTAGAGGCTAGTCTCTGGGGGCCCCTCGACGGGCCTGGGGCTGAAAGGCCACGTAATTTTTTTGATAAAAGAATCAAACGTATTAAAGTTACTGGAATGCACAGACTTTAAGATGGATTTTCAGATGAGTTGTTCGGGGTCCTCCATGCCCCGCCCCCATTTAGGAAAGTGGAGAGACGCAGAAACCCGTTTCAAACTAGAGAACTTCGTTTTTGTCTTTGCCACACAACTTCTGGCTCTTTCAACACCTTTTTCTGTGCTCCTGTTCCCAAAGTAAGCCTGGATTTTGTTCTCTACTAGGAAAACTTGCATAAATTGTTGCCTAAGTTTACAACTAATTGGTTTTGCTCAATGAAGCATTAAAACAGAAATTAAGTAACCAGAATATAAGGAAGTTTAGTAAATCAGTTGGAAAAGGAGCACAGATGATGTATAATTAGAAGCTAAACAGAAAATAAAGAAAACAAAACTATGCTATATGTAGAATACGGGTGGTGTTTAGATGGGCTAGGATTTCAGTGTGCGCACGTCTCTGTACCATAGACACACCCCTAATACTTGGGGGTGTCTACTGTATCCCAGGCACTGTTTTAAATGCTTTCATGAATTATGAATTAACTTATTTAATTCTCACAATACCCTAGTCATAAGTCCTAGCATCATGCCCATTTTATAGATGCAGACACTGAGGCTTTAGATAAAGTCTAAGTAATACGCCCAGAGCTGACTCAGCTGGCAAGTGGCAGAACTGACCCCAGATCAGAAGGCCTGAATGGGAAATGCCACCTGTTCTCTCACAGCCAAGACTTCCGGCCTAGCCAGGAGAGCTTTGCTAGGCCAGCGTGGATGGCGCTTACTGGGGTGTGAATGTAAGTTCCAGTCAATTCTACCATCTGTCATTGAGGGCTCTTCTGTGTCAGGAATAGACTTGGGCAGAAGTCAAGCAGGCCTGGCTCCTGACAGCTTCCGTACTGACGAGTAATTTTTAACTGCACACCTACATGTTTAAGGAGCCCCATGTGACAAAGACCACTGAAGCGGAGTCAGAGCGGGGGCGTGTGAGAGACACACAGGAAAGGGCGTGGGGTCAGAGCCCAGAGGGCTGGCGTTTACCACCTGGGCTGATCCTGCCAGCGGGGCCACCTTAGACCCAGACCTGAAGCTTTCTGAACCACACCCTGCAGGGGGTCCAGAAATGTCTCCTGGGGACAGCCCTGGAATAGTGCAAGCTGGGGGAGATGGGAAGGGGGGCTGGGAAGGAGAAGGGGGAGGAGGGGGAGGCTGCAGGGAACTGGAGGGGGTGGGGGGGAAGGGGGCTCAGCCCAGCTAGGGAAGGAAGGAGAGGAGGGCCTTGCAAGCCGGGATCTGCCTGCTCTTGCTGCGCAGTGAGAAGCCCACCCAAGGCCCGAGTCCTTGCGGCCCCTGACTGCTTCTCTGAGTGTAACAGGCCACTATGGCCGTGAGGCTCCTTCAGGAATTGCAGTTTTATTGTTATTATCATTGTCTATTGGATGTATTTTTCTTCCTCTCTTCTTAGAGCCCTCATCTCTCGCATCTGGAAAAGGCGTGGAAAGAGCCAAAGCTCCCCATCAGCGGAGGGGCGGAGGGTGGGACCAGCTCCGGCTCGGAGGCCAAGGGCGCATCCCCGCGCGTCCGCGGGGCTGGGCAGGAGCTTGCGCGGGGCCTCAACATACTGTTTTGCCAAACAGATGCGACGGAGGTGAGCGTCCTCTGAGAGGCAGACGTGTCCGGCCGCTGAAAGGAACTTTTCTATTCAGAGCCTCATTCTCTAAGGCGGGTTGTGGCAAGATTCTTTCTGAAAGGTGCAACGCTCACGTGACTGTCACGGAGTCCCCTTCTTCCCTTTCAGACCTCGGCCAGCAGCTGTCTGGGGTCCATTTGGGCCAGTTCCTCACTACGTGCAAATGCTCCATCACCGAGGTGACAGGTAAAGAGAGGAAACATGCAGCCGCGAGGCCCTGGAGTAACAGGTTCCAGGCTGGGTAGGACGCACCTGGGCGCCCCGAGCCTCTGAAACCGCGCACGTGCGGAGTCGGCCTCACCTCCCTCCGCTCTCTCACCTGGGCGCGCGCCGCTTTCCTCATTGGTAACAAGGGGTCGGACCACGTGAGATGCACCTGATCCCGCGCAGCTCCAACAGTCCCTCCCTCGCAAAAGAAAACGCATCGCCGGCCGCCCCCTCCCTCTCCTTAGGGACGGGCAAAATGACATGCGCCTGGGTGCGGAGTCTGCCCTGAGCTGCCGTCACAGGTCGATCCAGGTGGGCGCTCTGTCCCCACGACTCACGAATGCAGAGCGTCTTGAAGCCACACAGAGCTGCATGATGATTGCTGAAAGCAAACACGCTCCCCCGAGGCCGCGCGCCGAGCTAAGTGGCAAAAAATGCGACTCCTGCACTCCGGAGAGGGACAAAAAAAAAATCAGATTCGGAAAAAGGGGCGGGGTAGAAATCCGTATGTCAGTCTCAAGTTTGGTGCTTGACACGGATTGGAAGTGCGGATGACGCTATCGCTCCCTGCTCTGGGAAGCAGTGCGCTTTTATCCAAGGGGCAGAAATAGCTGTGTACCCGGAGCATCGGGATTTCCCGTTGAACGCGGGGCGTACGGACCCCTAAACCAGTCGGAAGTTAGGTGCAGGCACTTCACTGGCAAGTGCAGGAATAGTTTTGAGTTTCGTAACTTCAAATGTGTGGGTTTTGTTTGTTTGATAACTGGGCACAGCTACCGAATTAGAAAACATTGAATTTTACTGAGAAAACTCATGTGACGATTCGAGTTTTAGAGGTGTGCGCCTCGGACACGCGTGCAGAGGTAGGTGTGGAGGTCGTTTAGCGCCCCGCTGTTTACAGCAGTGAGAGGGCGGAGTGGGGGGCAGTGGGGGCAGTGGGGGCAGTGAGCGCTTAGCTGAGATGATGGGAAAACACAGCTGTCTGGGAAGCCCCCACTCGGCAGAAGCCCCGGCAGAGTTCCCACTGGGAGGCCAAGGCGAGGAGGGTGGTGGGAAGGGGGACAATTACACCCCAAGAAGGAAGCCTTTTCTATTGATGCCGATAACACAGCGGCGAGACGTTAATTCTAAACAAGGTTTTTAAGTTTCAGTCACGATATCTGCTTTCTTGTTACCTTTGCAAACAGTTCTCGGGACACGATGCTGCTTTAGGCTCCGCGCAAAGATGATTTTGCCAGGCAGTCTGTCTGGGGCGGCGGCCCCATCTCCATTTAGAGCGGCTCCATTTCTTATTTTTTTAACGTTGATTTCGTATCCTGCAGCTTCTCTGTATTTGTTTATCGTTGCTCATACTTTTTTAGTGGTGTCTCTCGGGTTTTCTATGTACAGGATGATGTCGTCTGCAGAAAGTGACAGTTGGGCTTCTGTCATTGCCAGTGTGGACGCCTTTCGTTTCTCTCTCGCTAGGACTTTAACGCTGTACTGAATAAGGTGGCGAGGGCGAGCAGCTTCTCTGGTTCCTGATCTTAGAGGAAAAGCTTTCAGTTTTTCACCAGTAAGTGTGATCTGAGCTGAAGGTTTGTCTTGTATGGTCTTGATTATGTTGAGGGATGTTCCTTCTATACCCATTTTACGGAGTGTTTTGATCACAAATGGATGCTGTATCTTGTCAAATGCTTTTTCTGCATCTATCGACATGATAACATGATTTTCGTCGTTTCGTTTATGTGGCGTATCATTTTGATGGATTTGTGTACGTCGAACCGTCCTTGCACCTCTGGAATGAACCCCACTTGATCGTGATGTAGAATCTTTTTAAGGTATTGTTGTATTCGATTTGTTAGTATTTTCTTTAGGATTTTTGCATCTGCATCCATCAGATATTGGTCTGTATTTTCCTTCTTGTGTGTTATTCTTACTAGGTTTTGGTATCGGGGTGATGTTTAGAGTAGGAAAAATATTTAGTAAGTACTCAGCCCACGTACTCTACAATATAGCCTTGTAGTGGAATATCATCCAATCATTAAAAATATTTTAATATCCCTGCACAGTGTCAGGGAAATTTTCCATTACACATTTCAGCTGTAGACCTCCTTCCCCACATATGAATGCACACACAACGATATACATGTAGCTATACATTACAGACATTCATGCATACTTGGAGGAAAAGTCTAAAAAATATATCAAACTTTTAGGATTAAAATGTATCCAAAATATTGAATTGAAAATAAAAGAGGTGTTTTAGTTTTTACATTCTAAAACCTTTCGAAGATGTCTGGTGAGCTTCCAATGCTAGCTTTGAAGGGGACCATAAACATTGAGCACAAACACTGGTTTGACAGTAAATTTATATAATGATTCCAGAAAATGATTTAGCAAGATTCTTAAAACATTTAAATATTTTTACTCCATAATCAATTTCAAGGAGTCTCTCATAAGTAAATAATTCCAAATCATAAAAGAGTTACATGAATTGTTTGATAGCATTATTTATCATAACAAAAAATGGAAAGAATTTACGTATTTGTTTAGATGTGCTGTCATTGACTATGTATTTGTTTAGATGTGCTGTCATTGACTAGTTAGGTTACGTATGTAACCTAAATGAACTAGTCAATGACAGCACATCTAAACAAATAAAAATTATGATGAGTCCGTAATGACATGTACGCATGAAGATATTGTAATATTGAAATGGTAAACATTTACATGTAGCATGATCATAGCTATATAAATATACAAGAGCAAGACTGAAAATGTATATGATGGATGGGAGTATACCCGAATCTTAATCATGGTTACGTTTTTAGGTAAAGAGTGTGGTTATAATTTTATTATAAATTTTTCTGTACTTTTTAAAATAATCAGATTCAGTTCTACAGTATATTTTTTTAAATTATCTTTTAAACTATTAGTACAGTCACCACCAATTTAAAAAACATTGGGCATGTAGATGACTTGGTGACCAGAAAACAAAATCAGTTAATGAGGAGGATTTGAAAGACATTCGCCCGTTAGGGAAACTGGTGATTCCTTCAGTGGAACCACCTGCACTTCAGTCGGTGGCCTTGACTGTCTGGACCGTAGCTTCCACTGAAGGTCGTGGATGGCACAGCACACCCACTGTGACTGCGTGTCATGAGTTATGAGAACAATGAAGATAATGCCGGAAAGATATTTCTCTTTAAGAAAGTTTAAGATGAGAAAAGAAAGGAAGGGGCATATTTGCTTTTGAGCAAAATGGTACCCCCTTCCTTTCTCGGTGCAAGGCTGGTAAGGTTATGTGTTTCTGCGTTTTGGACTTTATGCAAATGACAGTGCACTGTACCGCTTTCTAGCTCAGTGGGGGTATTATAGAAACAACAACATATTTTGTATAGAGAGTCATGAATGCATGGCAAAACTATAAAGCAAAGCAAGCCAAGGATAGGCACAATGTCTGATGGTGATGACTTCCGGTTTGGGGACCCTAGCGGTGAGCTCTGGAGGAGCATACAGGCAGCTTAAAGATATTAGTAAAATACTATTTCTTTAGCTAGGTGGGGGATACACAAGCATTTATTTGTTATTTTACTTTATATGTTACATATGACACTACATATTTTTGTACCTATCCATCATAAAATTGGAGGCTTTTTTTGCGTTAAAAGGTTAAGATTATGTTAAAAAATGAAAGCCAATCAAAAGAAATTTTGCAAGCTCGGTTGCCCTCTAGTGCTAAAATTGGATAAGTGCAGTTAATGTCTTCAATTCTTTTGCAGGATCCACTCATATTGCACTTCCTTAAAAACAGAAATTAATAGTAAAATGAAGTAGAATAGCATCCCCCCAAATTTGTTAAAGTTAAATAGTACATTTCGTATCGAATTTAAAAAGTGCTGCCAGACTGCTCTTCAGTCTTTGAAGGATGACCCAAAAGAATGTTTCAGCTTCTTCGCAAGCCTGTGTCATCGCATGCGTGGACCTCATCTTCTTTATCCATCGTCCACTGAAGGGCCTGTCGGTCGTTTCCAGGTCCCCGCCACCGTGAATAATGTGGCAGTGAACATCGGGGCGCATCTGTCTTTACGGATAAATGTTTTCAAATTTTGGGGGTAGATACCCAGAAGGGGGACTGCTGGGTCATATGGCAATTCTGTTCTTAATGGAATATTACTCAGCCATAAGAACAAATGAAATACTGCCATTTGTGGCGACGTGGATGGATCTCGAGGTGGA